TATACAAAACTTTACTGAAGAAAATAACTTCTTCAAAATTAGAATTGACCAAATGAAAACTAATGAAACATCAAGAAATAATAAAAAGGTCAAAAGAAAAAAATTGAAGAAAATGTGAAATGTCATAGGAAAAAGAGAGCTAGGTGGTATAGTGAATAAAGCACTGGGCCTAGAGTTAGGAAGACCTGAGTTCAAATCCTGCCTCAAACTGGATGTGTGACCCTGGGCAAATCACTTACTTTCTGTTTTACTCAGGTTCCTCAACTGTGTGGTTGCTGTTTAGTGTTTCAGTTGTGATCAACGCTTCATGACCCTAATTGGGATCTTCTTGGCAAAGATACTCGAGAGGTTTGCCAATTCCTTCTTCAGCTCATCTTTGCAGAAGAAGAAACTGAGGCAAACAGGGTTATGACTTGCCCAGGGTCACATAGCTATTAAGTGTCTGAGGTCGCATTTGAACTCAGCTCTTTTGGACTCTAGGTCCAGTGCTCTATCCACTGGTATCACCTAGCTGCCCCTTACTCAAGCATAAAATGAGGATAATAATAGGCTATCTCCAAAGATTGTTGTGAGAATAAAATGAGATGTTTGTAAAGCACTTAGCAGAGTGCCTGGCATATAGTAGGTGCTACATAAATGCTACCTATTATTACTACTATTGTTATCATCATTATTTTAAGAAAAAAACTGACCTGGAAAACAGATTGAGGAGGGATAGTTTAAAAATCAATGAACTACCTGAAAGCCATGAACAAAAAAAGCGCCCAGACATATTTCAAGAAATCATAAAAGAAAACTGCTCAGATATCTAGGAACTAATCAGTTAGTTAATAAACAGAGAAGCAAAGGGCAAAGTGGAAACTGAAAGAATCTACCAGTCATCTAATGAAAGAAACCCCAAAATTAAGACTCCCAGGAACATTACAGCCAAAATCCAGAGCTCCCAAGGTCAAGGCAAAAATATTGCAAATGGCCAGAAAGAATTCAAGTATTGTACTGAGGAGCCAGAGGTCAGGATTATACAAGATTTAACAGCCACTGTAAAGGAATATAATATTCCTTTAGCTTGGAATAGATATTTCAGAAGGCAAAGGATCTAAGCTTACAACTAAGAATAACCTACCCAGTAAAACTTAGTATAATTCTAAGGGGCAGGGGGTGGGGTGGGGGGGGAATAGGATTTTTAATGAAATAAAGGATTGCCAAACATTCCTGATAAAAAGACCAGAGCTGTAGAAAATCTGATGTGGAAATACAGAAGTCAAGAGAAGTACAAAAAGGTAAACATGAGTGAGAAATCATACGATACTATAATACAAAGTTAAGCTTTATATATATGGGGAGATGATACATGTAACCAGAACTTTGTCATCATCAGGGTATTAGAGGTAATCTAATTAGAAAGAGTGCCAGGTTGTGATTCTCTTATATTTGGATGATCTCGATCTCAAAAGATGAATGAAAGGGTGGAGAAGAGGAATTCACTGGGAGACAGAGGAAAGGGAGGAAGAATAGAGGAAATCCCCTCACATAAATGGGGTGCACAAGAAGTTTTTACGATGGAGTGGGAAGGGGAATGGGCAACACATGAACCTCACTCTCATCTGAACTGATTGTGTGGTTTGTCCTTCGTTCTCAAAGGGGGCCATGACATCAGGGAGATGATGACATGACTTGCAATTAACTTCGATTTGAGTGAGGGAGGGCTGTGCCAAGTCACCAGCCTCACTTTCTCCTCCAGAGCCATCTGGGTCCACTGGCCAGATGTTAATCAGGACGACTGGAGATGGCCCAGGATGCAAATGGGAGACCTTGGCCCTTTTAAGCTAAGGTCTTTTCAAGTTCTCACTTTGACTGAGGCAACATCCATTCAGTGAACAGGCCTCTTTAAGAAGTGAGTCAAGGAATGGCCCTTTTAATAATTAAAAAAAAAAAATCAAACTGGGAGAAGACCCTCAGGGTTGCTGGCCAAAAGAGAAACAGTTACTATTTACATTCACTCTGAGCCAGGAGGGCCCAAAAATAACCATTAAGGGGTGCTTGGGCAGGGGCCTATTATTATCCAATCCATGAGATCCTGAGTGAACTGGATTTAAAGTTTGATCTTTGAGAAAGAAATCTAGCCAGTAAACCCCAAGTTAACTGGGAAGTTTTTGGCCATCAAAGTTTACCTTCCTTTGGGCAGAACACCCTCAGGAAAGGAGAAGAGAGGAGGAGAGGAGAGGAGAGGAGAGGAAAGGAGGGGAGGGGAGGGGAGAGGAGAGGAGCAGCTGAGTTGGCCAACTGGAACTGGGCAGCTGGGTCCCCGTTCTGGCAGCTTGGACCACTCACAGGTTGTGGTTTTTCTTTCATTCTTGAAAAGGACCATGACCAAATCAAAATCAATTGCAAGTCATATCATCTGAACTGCTTAAAGGAGGAAAGAATACACAATACACATATTTGGGCACAGAAATTCATCTTAACCAACAGAAAAGGAGGTGGGAAAGGAGTTAAAAGGAAGGAAGGAAAATATGAAGGGGGCCAGATTCAGTCAGAAGCAAAACAAATTCTTAAAGAGGGAACAAGGAAAAAAAGAGAAGGAAAAGTGTAAGAGAATAGGATGGAGGGAAACAGTTAGCAATCATAATGGTGAAAGTGATGAACTCCCCCATAAAATGGAAGAGGCCAGCAGATGGACCAGAAGCCAGAATCCGACAATGTTGTTTACAAGACACCCTCGAAAAGAGGATGGTTTCAGAAAAACCGGGGAAGACTTGTAAGGACTGATAAAAAGTAAAGTGAACAGAACCAGGAGAACAATTTATACAGTAAGAACAATATCGTAAAGGCAATCAACTTTGAAAGACTTAGGAATTCTGATTAACATCACTAATTGTAATTCTGAAGGATTCATGATAAAACATGATATCCAACTCCAGAAAGAGAAATGATGGCTTCAGGGTGCCAATTTTCTTTCCTTTGGACATGGCTAATGCAAGAATTTTTTTTGCATGACTAGAACACGTATTTGTGATGAGCTTTGTTCTTCCTACCTTCTCAGTAGGTGGTGGAGGGAAAAAGGAGAATTTGGAACTGAAAATAAAAATTTAATTAAAATAACCTAGGTGCTTTTTCAAAGAAACTCTCCCTTCCTTATGCCTCCCCATCTTGTACTTGTCAGTGTCATTTTATAAAAACCCAAGTGTAGAACTTTATATTTATCACTATTAAATTTTCTTATTTTACTTGGCCCTTTATAAACTTTGACTCCTGTTATCTGATATGTTCGCTTTCCCTGTCAGACACATGACATCTTCACATTTGACATAGAAGCCTTTCCCAACACCCACTAATGCTAATGCCTTCCTTCTATTGATTTTCTCCAATTTAGACTGATCACATCTTGTGGTTTGCATGTTTTCTCCCCCGTCAGATTCTGAGCTCCTTGAGAGCAGGGCCTGATTTGTGCCTTTCTTTACATTCCCAGTTCTTACTACAGTATCCAGCACATAGCAAGCCTTCAATTGTTAACTGACTTTCCTCTCATTCTAAGAGAGGAGTCAAATATAGTGTCACCAGAACCAGATTAAAATGGAATTGGGAAATATTTAACAAAATAAAAACATAACAGAACATAGATAATATTAACATGTGATATTCTAAGTCAATATGAGGCCCACAGGGATCCTTATGCATGGGTTAATGCCCTCCCCCTTTCTATTTGAGTTTGACACCACTGCTCCACCACAAACTAGCAGTTGGTAACCTTGCCACAAAGTCCTCATGACATCCATTCAAGCAACTGTTGCCTTTGTTCGGTTAGAATCAGATCCTAACCAGTATTTCCCCTCACCAGTTTCCCCACCTATTGTTGTTGAGTTGTTTTTCAGTCTTGTCCAACTCCTTGTGACCCCATTTGGGTCTGTATTGGCAAAGATACTGGAGTGGTTTGCAATTTTCTTCATCTATTATAAGATGAAATTATTATTAAGGTAAATTGCAAAATTATAATTTACTCTGCTTTGACAGAGAGAGTTCCAACACATGTCTAGATAATTTCAGTTCCCCATCAGTTTCCTCCTTCCGTCCAGGAGATGCTGACTTCAATGGTGCAGCGGCTTTGGTTCGTCAGTGTCCTTCACCCGAATGCTCTGCGCTATGCTTCTCTCTTCTGGTTCCTGGAATTCCTCATCCATACATTTTCATAACAGAGTCAGAAAGTCAACCATTTTACCTGTTTCTTTCAAGTAAAGGATCCAGTGTGAAGTCACATTCCAGTCACGGCTTTCATTTCATCAATTTCCAGTGATAACTGTGAGGTCAAACGTCCATACTGTTGTTAAGAACGCTCGTTCATTTTGTTTGCCTCACCCCACCCGACCCTCTTCTTTATCCTCATCATGACCTTCGATCATTCCACTCTCACTATCATCTAATTTTCCTACCTTCACAGTCTTGAGCCTGGATTTCAATTCTAGCGCTCTCTGTGAACCCTCTGCCCTCTTGTTTAATTACTATCCATGACTTGCCAAATGGAAGTGAAATTCATTGTGTGACTTCACTCTTACTCATGTCCTGCTGAATACTGATGGAGGAAGTCATACAAGTACATCGACAGGGCCAGTAACATTGGGAACCTTGGATATATGTGAAAATAGGAAGGTGTGGGGGAGGCAAGATGTGTAGGAAGGGTAAATGGGGAGTCTACAAAGGAAAAGGTGAAAAGCCGTATTTCAATATTTCAACGCATCTATACAATTCAATAGATATTTACTAAAGATCTCATCTGAGCCACACACTAGGCTAGGTACTGGTAACGTAAAGACAGAATTCAAAGCCCTTAAGGAACTTACATTCTATACAACATTTATATACATAAATAAATGAAGACTTGAAGATACGGAATTCAGGAAAAGCTTCCTTTGGATCACTGGTTCTTAATATAGGGCCTACCATATATAGATTTCAAGGGGTCCACGGACTTTGCTGGGGAAAAAATACACCTTATTTCAATATAATTAGTTTCCTTGGTGATCTTACGTGTTTTATTTTATGCATTTAAAAAACATTTTTTCAAGAAGGGTTCCATAAGCTTCAATGCTTTTAAACTGATCCATTTCACCAAAAAGGTTAGGAGCTTCTTGCCTTAAGGGGTGGCATATGAAACAACTGGAAAAAAGAAAAGAGGAGTAAATTCAAGGCATGGGGATGAGACTACGCAAAAGCACAGAGGCAGAGGATATAAGGTCAAATTCAGTGTACTATAAGTAGATCAGTTTGACTCTGAAGTGCATGAAGGAGAAAATGTAAAATTAGCCTGGAAAGGTTGGGATTAGATTTCAAATGCCAAGCTGTGGTGAAAACACTAAAGATTTTCAAGAGAGTAACATGATCAGTTCTGTTCTTTAGAAAGTTAATTGTTGTGGGGAGGATAAACTGTAGAGAAAATAGAAATCAAACCAAGAGGCTGCTGTAGTAGTCTAGGAGATAGGATGAGGCCCTGTACTAGGCTAGCAATGTTTTGAATGTAGAGAGGATATCAACATGACAGATGATGTAGGGGGAAGATCTACAAGACACAGCAATTCATGAGATATGGAGTGAAGAAGAGAGACATTGAATAAGATTCCAAGGCTGTGAACCTGGCTATGAGGAAAGATGGCATTTAATGAACTGAGGATGGTGACAAAGAGCCTGCTAAGAGAAATAGACTGATGCTATCTTAAAGATAGGGGATGACTGCTGGAGTAGGAAGGAGGGGACTGCATAAAGGCACAAAAAGAGAAATGGTCTTTCTAAGGAGTTAGGTTAACAATTCTGGTGATTGGAAAGATGAGAAGCCTCAGAAATTTTCATGAGTGGCATTTAGAGAGTAAACAGCTGCCTTATTGCTTCAATTTTCTCAAATTAAACGTTTAAGTAACATTTGCATTACAAATGAATGGTGGGAGGTGAAAGGGGATAGGGAGGGGAACCAATGTTTGAACTGGCTACTGAAAGTAGACATAAATTTTCTTCATTTAAAATTTCAAGTCTCTAATTTTCAATAAAGGACCATAATTCTGACTGAAATGCTTCTGTTTGTTATATTCATAATGCTTCTCTCCAATAGGATTTTCTGATTTTCAGTAAGCTCTGTGCCCTGAAAAAGAGCTTTTCACATTCATTGTATACCACTTTTTCTTTTAATAATCATGATATAATACCCGGCAGACTGAGTCCCAAAGGGGATACCGGCTACTTCTTAACTGAGGGTTACAAGGATAATGTTGAAGGGTTGGGAGATACCAGTACTACTGCTCATGAGCCTCCACTGGTTTCCCTGACTACTGATTAAGAGATGATAATAAATTAGCTTTTAGAAAGGGCTTTTTACGAAAGTAGCATACTAAGAACAGTTGGTATAAAATACTCCCCCAAACCGAGGACACACTTTCCCACAAAAGCAGAGTTCAGGGGAAGGTGGGCTCAGGCTTCAAAAGCATGTGGCACAGCAGTAACTTACAGCTCCTGTATGCTAGAAGTCCTCTCCTACTCTTTGTGGTGTCCTGATGAAGTTTCCCTTAGGCTCCTTGTCGAGCCCTGAAGACGTCTCTCTTCAATATGTCTAGTTCAGTCCTATCTCCTGATGCAGATGTCGCTCTCAGTCACTGCCGTTCCAGGGATCTTGTTAGGGCACTGGTGAAAAGTCACAAATCTTCTGACCTTTCAGAAGTTCATGAGGCCTTTTTCTGGTTCATGGGAAAGTAAAAAGGAAATAGAGGCTGTCTCCTCCCACTATGAAGTCATTCTCAGGGTTTTGGCCAAAGTAGCTTCCCTTAAGAAGAAGTTCTAAAACTAAAAATCCAGATTCAGAATTGGCTTGCTCTTCTATCCAAGACTTTTATCCAAGTTCATGACTGAATTTTTTTAGCCATTTTTAAAAAACTTCCCATTTAATAAATATCATGTCATTTCATCCAGTGAATTTCATTCCTTCCAAACTGATTAAGGACTTTTGGCAACTAGTTTAATGTCAGATTGATTCAATAAAGAAGTTCTCAACTAATGAAAGTATCAGGGCTGGAGAATTATATTGTTAATATTTTAAGCAAGGTGAGGTAGAGTAGGGTGATTGATTGATTCAACTGACACCCTCCCCCTCTCCTTACAGCATAAATAGTTGAGTAAGTTATTTACTTTGGAAATACACCATTCCTCAATCATTATATCCATAAAGTTTCTCACCAGCATGAATTCTCTGATGTTGAGTAAGCTGTGCTCTCAGGCGGAAGGACTTCGAACATTCACTGCATTCATAAGGTTTCTCACCAGTATGAATTGTCTGATGTTTGGACAGGGCAATCCTCTGGCTGAAGGCTTTCCCACATTCATTACATTCATAAGGTTTTTCACCAGTATGAACTGTCTGATGTTGTGTAAGTGCTACCCGCCTGCTAAAGGCCTTCCCACACTCACTACATTTATATGGTTTCTCTCCAGTATGAATTCTCTGATGCTGAGTAAGTCCTGCCTTCTGGCGGAATGTCTTCCCACACTCATTACATTCATAAGGTTTCTCACCAGTATGAATTGTCTGATGTTGAGTAAGCTCTGCTCTCAAGCGAAAGGCCTTCCCACATTCATTACATCCATAAGGCTTTTCACCAGTATGAATCGTCTGATGTTGAGTAAGTCCTATCCTCTGGCGGAAGGCTTTCCCACATCTATTACATTCATAGGGTTTCTCTCCAGTGTGAATTGTCTGATGTTGTGTTAGTCCTGTCTTCTGACGGAAGGCCTTCCCACATTCATTACATTCATATGGTTTCTCTCCAGTATGAATATTCTTATGTGCAGTAAGCAGTGCTCTTAATCGAAAGAATTTCCCACATTCGTTACATTCATAAGGTTTCTCACCAGTATGAATATTCTTATGTGTGGTAAGTAATGCTCTCAGTCGGAAAGCTTTCCCACATTCATTACATTCATAAGGTTTCTCACCAGTATGAATATTCTTATGAGCAGTAAGCAGTGCACTCAGACGGAAGGCTTTCCCACATTCACCACATTTATAAGGTTTCTCCCCAGTATGAACTGTCTGATGTCGACTAAGGCCTATCTTCTGACTGAACGCCTTCCCACATTCATTACATTCATAAGGTTTCTCACCTGTATGAATTGTCTGATGTCGAGTAAGTCCCATTCTTTGGCGGAAAGCCTTTCCACATTCATTACATTCGTATGGTTTCTCTCCAGTATGAATTGTATAATGTCGATTAAGTTCCTTCTTCTGGCCAAAGGCCTTTCCACATTCATTACATTCATAAGGCTTGTCTCCATTATGAATTGGATAATGTGAAATAAATTGTTTTCTCTCACTGAAGGCCTGTCCACATTCATTATATTCATAAGGTTTCTTTTCAGCGTGACTTTTTTGATGATAAGTAAGTTCTGTCAAGTACCTGAAAGTCTTCCCACATTCATTACATTTATAACATGCCTCACTACCATGAATTTTCTGATGTTGATAAAGCCCTATTCTGCGGCTGAAGGTTTTCTCACATTGATTACATTCGTAAGGTTTCTCTCCAGTATGAGTTCTATAATGTTGTTTAAGATTTTGGCTTTGTATGAAAGCCTTCCCACATTCCTCACATTTAAAAGGTTTTTCACCAGTATGAATTGTTTGATGTTGGCTGAGTTTTCCTCTCAGTCGGAAAGCCTTCCCACACTGATTACATTCATAAGGTTTCTCACCACTGTGTATTCTCTGATGTTGAATAAGTCCTATCCTCTGGGTGAAGGCCTTTCCACATTCATTACATTCAAAAGGTTTCTCTCCAGTGTGAATTCTATAATGTTGCTTAAGATTTTGGCTTTGAATGAAGGCTTTTCCACACTCGTCACATTTAAAAGGTCTTTCACCAGTATGAATTTTCTGATGTTGCTTGAGCTGTGCTTTCAGGCGGAATGCCTTCCCACACACATTACATTCATAAGGTTTTTCACCAGTATGAATAGTCTGATGTTGAGAAAGCTCTGATCTGTACCTGAAGGCCTTCTCACACTCACTACATTTGTAAGATTTCTCTCCAATATGCACTGCCTGATATTGAGTAAGTTCTGATCTGTTCCTAAAGGCCTTCCAATATTCATTATATTCACAAAGTTTCTCCTCACCTTCATTAAACTTACAAAATATCTTACTTGGACATACTGTATTACGTATTCTTAAGTCTGAATTCACCCTGAAGCTCTTTCCTTGTGTATAACTATTATTGGGACCCTTTCCTACTCTCGGTTGTGGAAAACCTACAGGTCCTAGGTTGAAATTTCTGCAATAGTTATAGTCGTGCCATCTCAATTTATTAGAATGCTTCTTAGGGGAAATCTTCACTTGCTGAGAATGTTTCACCTCATCACTCTGCTTCTTCTTCAAACTACCGACACAATCCCAAGCTTCCTGTAACTTCAAGAAACAAGAACCATCCTTTGTGAGTTTTTCCTGAGATGGTTCTTCCATTGAAATATCCACTTCCTGAACTGATTCCTTGGTTTCATGATTCGTCTCCCAACCTGAAACAAATTTTAAAAATGTAAATATGCCTGCTGCCCCTGTTGTACACAAAGTTCTGTCATCTTTGTTTTCTATCACGAACCATCATTATCTATAACTATTTTCTGCTAATTGTCATGTAATTTCCCTAGCACTTTCCGTCAAATTAAAAAAGGCCTCTTCCCCAATTAATAAATGATCAAAAGATATAATCAGTTTTCAGATGAAGTAATTAAAGCTATCTATAGCCATATGAAAAAAATATTCTAACTCACTATTGATGGGAGAAACGCAAGTTAAAACAATTCTGAGGTACTACCTCATATTAGATTCGATAACAGAACCGAAAAGGTAAATGACAAATGTTGGAGGGGATGTGGGAAAAATGAGACATTAATGTACCTTTGTCAGAGGTATGAATTGATTAAACCATTCTATAGAGCAATTTGGAACTATGCCCAAAGGGCTATAAAACCATGCCTACCCTTTAACACAGCAATACCACTACTAGGTCTCTATCCCAACAGAGATAAAAAACAAAAAGGAAAATGACCCATATGTACAAAAATATTTATAGCAGCTATCTTCTGGGAGTAAAGAATTAGAAATTGAGGGGATACATATCAACTGGGGAATGGCTGAATAAGTTGTGGTATGTAATTACGATGAAATACTATTTTACTATAAGAAATGTTGATCAGGATGCTCTCAGAAAAACCTGGAAGGACTTACATAGGTTGATGGGAAGTGAAATGTGCTGGGTACAAAGTAACTGCAATACTGTAGGACGATCAGCTGTGAATGACTTGGCTATTCTCAGCAATGCAGTGATCCAATACAACCCTGAAGGACTCAGGATGAAAAACGGGATCCATCCCCAGGAAAGAACTGATGGTCTCGGAACACAGATTGAAGCAACTTTTTTTTTCACTTTCTTTCTTTTTCTTGAATTTTTTTTGTCGGTTTTCTATCATAATATGACTATTACGGGTATGTTTTGCATGACAACACAGATATGGTCCATGTGGAGTTGCTTGCCTTCTCAATGGAAGGGGGTGGGAAGGGAAAGAGGAAAAGAATTTGGAATTCAAGTTTTGAAAACAAATGTTTAAAAAATTGTTTTGTTTTGTTTTTTACACATAACTGGGGGAAAATCAAATACCAGACAAATACAAGGGCGAGTCCTCTTCCATGTGCTTGTTGTGTTCTTTGACTCCAACATGAGGTGCTGAATGCATTTCCTTCGGTGCCTAAGTTCATTCCACTTAGGTCCTTTTCCAGTTTTTCACTAGTGGCAGATAGTCCTACAATTACTCTTTATCATATAATTGTGAATTTTTTTAATGCATAATGGAAACTGCAGTAAAGGACCTCCTATTATGCCAGCAACCTGGCTGCTGACATCTAGTAAGTAGGTCTTCATATACTGAAGCTAACTTCCACCCCTTCTAAGCCACAGTGACCCAGGCCGAGGACGCCTGGACCCCCTCTGGCCTAGCCGTGCCTCTGAGGGACCTTGGCCCTTGCCCTATGTGGATTGATCCTGATAGTCCCTCAAATATGGACACAAAGACTTGGCTGGCTCCAAATGATCAGATGGGGGTGAGGCAGAGGCTTTGGTCAAGGAAAAAAAAACCCTCACTGTTCTAGTTCCAGACGTCCTTACGCAATTCTAGTAACACCTGTGCAGGCTGACCATCAATCATCTTTTACAGACCATTTCAAAAGCTGTGTTCAAAGTTTCTGACAGGGAAGAGTATCATCACTCTTTGCTCTTGGCAGGATACACGTGGTGCCTGTCCTCATCACCCCCAATGCGTCTATTTGTGTGGAAAGTCCTATTTGCTCGCCCAGGCCTGTAGGGTGGTCTTGAGATAGGGCAGAGTGGGGAGGATTCATTAGTGAAGGTCTAATTCGAAGTTCCACCGAAAAAGCAGTAACTAAATGACCCCAAAGAACACTGATTATAGGGAGTGGGGGGTCTTGGAGAAGGAGTATAAAGCCATCATCCAAGCTATCTGTCAGCCTGCTGTCACTGACCTCCTCCCCACCTGAAAGAGTACCATCTACTCTGAGACCTGGATCTCCAGGTTTTCCAGAATCTGGACACACAATCCCTAATGAAGTAAATCCACTGATCTTTAAAGCCAGCCTTTGAAGCTAGGACACAAACCAAATGATTAGCAACTGAATATATGCAAACCAGCTGACCTAGCAAAATATCTACCAGAGGCCCTTGCCCTGTGGGATAGACTAGTTCTTTTACTTAAAAGGCACTGAAGCCAAAGAATCCTGAATGATATTGATGTACAGATGAGAGATCTTATTGTAAAAGAGTATGCTTAATTATGACATGGTAAAGTTGTGGTCCATTATTAAATATCCCTTGTGGGAAAAAAAAAAAAGGCACTGAAGCCATCCTCGGGACTTAATTGGATCAGGTGACTAAAGGCTGGAGCCGTGGACATCGGACATCGCTAGCTGCTCCTGCCCCTCTGATACCTGATGTGTGGACTACGGTGAACAGATCACAGGCAGGAGAGCCAGGTTCAACTGAATTAACGTGCAGCACTGCTGCTGCACAGCCCCACTCAACATCCTTTCCCTGCTATGGTGAAATAAATCTCTTTTAACGGCTGAATGATCTATGCATGTTTCATTTGGCCTAACAGCAGACAAACCATGAGGGGGCCTGCCTGAGTCTGGCCCAGTCAGTAACGGCACTCTTATCTACTGGCTGACCTAAGACACCACGGCACGTTTCAGTTTTGTATCCCATCCAGTCATCCACCCAGGCCATCACACCAGCTGCCGGCACATATTTAGTAAGCATTTACTATGTGCTAGGCTCTGTGTTAAGTGCTGGGGATACAAATGTAAGCCCTCAAGGAGGTTACGTTCTAACATTGTTAGAACATAAATACATAAAAGGGAAGGAGGAGAGGAACCCTGCATGGGGTCATGATATTAAAGTCTGCCAAGTCAGAAGCATGGCTGGGACGGGAATGAAGGTTGGCTGGCCGGGGCCATTCCCCAAAACAGGCCCTGGGAAAAACTCACCAATGAGAGGACGGGGCTGGCACAGCGGAGGCATGTTCCATTGTGAGAAGGTCAGAGGGGTAGATGGATCTTCCAGAGTGAGGATGCCTTTGGCACTAAGGGAGATTTCAGGGAGAGACTGCAGCTGGGGTACGGTGTTGAAGTCCAGAAAGTCAGAAGCACAGCCTGGGGGATTAACGAAGATTGGCTAGCCTGGGCCTCTTTCCAAAGCAGAGACTCGGAAGGGAACTCACCAATGGGAGAAGGAGACTGGCATGGTAGAGGGATGTTCCACTGTGTGAAGGTCATGGGGTGGGTTGATGTTCTAAGGTAAGGAGGTTTTCTACCTTCTACCTTCCCCTCTACCCCCACCCCTTGCCCCAGAACAAAACTTCCTTCCCCAGTTACCATTTTCCTATATGTGTTAACTTTCCCTATTAGAATGCAAGCTTCTTAAAGGCAGAGGCTGTCTATTTTTAGAAAAAAGAATTTAATCCCTAGCAATTAGCACAGTGCTTGTCATACCAGTAAGTACTTACCGTTTTTTTTTTTTCATTTATTCATTCAGTTTACCAAACCCTTCTCTTTTTAAGCTTTCCCACTCTCCCTTGCTTTCTCCCATGAGGAAAATGACTGCAGCTTTCATCTTTGCGGGGCCAAACATGCAACTCCCTTCCCCACATTTTGGCCACCTACTCATAAGGAATGGGGATTTCTCATCTGGGGTTCTACTAACTGGTTCCACTGACTTTGCAAGTATAAATCCTCTTTAAGCTCTCCAAGCTGAAAGAACCCTACAACTGATAAACACAGAATCTGCAACTGGCTAAAATTCTGTATTGTCCCTACTGGACCATACCTTCATTCTTCTAATTCTTCTTAGCTCGCTCTTTGAAACTGTCCAGCAACCTCTCTAGTTCCTTGGGGGTGAAATCCCAGCCACCCAATGATTCCCCTGAAGGGGGGGATTCCCCCTCTCTGGGGAAGTAGTGGGAACGGGGAGGGTTAAGTGACAGAACAGGCCGGAGGCTCTCTTCTCACCAATACTGGGTCCCAATTCTCATCTTAATTCCTGCTCCTGTGCTCATCCCTTAAAACCCCAATCTCAGGGAAGTTTTATTAATAATTCTCCAGTGAAACCTCTGTACCAGAGGCCATACTTCCTGGCGATAGTCTTTACCCTTTCAGCACTGCCCTTTTGACCTCTAACGAGAGTCCAAACCCACTCTTCTGCCTTTGGTTTGTGGTCTGGAAAAAGCCAAGGTCACCCCCCTCTGTCTCTAATTGCCAAACGCCCAAGGACAACTTATCGTCATTTTCCCTACAGTGGCGATGTAGCTTTTCAAACACTATTCCTAACAGTGAAGAGAGCCTTAATTGTTCTACTTTCCCCGTCCTGTTCTTTTAGCATCCGCAGAGCTCCCCTTACCAGGTAAATACGCGCTCCTTCCTTACCCCACTGAGAGGCCTTCCCACACAACAGTCCTGTGTCGAGTCACCCAAGGCTCTTTCTTCTACACCATTTATCCCCCATTCCAATAATGAATTTAACCATTAAGTTACTGCAAACAATACTGCTGGCCAATGCCAAATATTCTTGGGCAGGCCTAGCTCAGACCAGTCCAGTGAGTCAGACTTGGGACTAGAATGTAATGAGACCCTAAAATGCAATGTAAACAACTTTACTTGTGAAAGACTAAAAAAGATACAATTCCTACTTAAAATAAAAGGCTATTCCCCTCCATCTCCACATTTCCCATAGCAATCAGCGATTCTCAGTCAGGAATGCATTCCCACAAAGCAATGGTAATTCCACTAAAGCGTCCAGAGCATCAGTTTTTTGTCAGCTCAGGATTTTATGTTTCAGAGGGCGAGGAAGCCAAGACAAAAAGGGTGAAAACAAGCATTTATTAAGCACCTACTATATGCCAGGCACTGTGCTATGTGCTCTACAAATACCATCATCTGATGTCCACAACCCCTGGAAGGGAGGTGCTATCATCATCCCCAATTTACATACAAGAAACTGAGGCAGCCAGAGGTGAAGTGACTTGGCCATGGTCACAGAGCTAGGAAGTATGTGAGGCTGAATTTGAACTGTGGCCTTCCTGATTTCAGGCCCAGCACTCTGTGCATTACGGGCCCAGCTGTGGATAATTCCCATGTTAGCTCCCTGGACCCACCATGTTCTAAGAACACGTCCCTGTCCCTTAAAGCAAAGGCATCCCAGTCAGGACCACACAAGCACCAGGTAAAATGATACTTCTCTCCGTCTGCTTATGCATTCAACATGGCCGACAGTGGATAAATCAAAAAGGCATCTGAGAAAAGCCTCAACCGGGCCTCACCTGAGAAAAGCCTAGGCAGGGCCCTTCATGCCTCAGGCAGCCAGGAAGCCAAACCCTCAGGCTCCTGGCCTCCTTAAAGGAATAACTGTGTCACCCACATAAAAATCAGGCTGCTCCTACCTCAGATGTCTACAAGAATCCTCACCACGTGCATTATTCTCATAAGAATGGTGCAAAGATGGGAAAGTAGACACATAAGTCAGTAACTGATGTTTTCTTTGTTGCCATGACTAAGGTCCAAAGAATCAATCAATAAACATTTATTAGGCCCCTACTGTGTAACATGAGCTGTGCTAAACACTGGGGGTACAAAGAAAAAAAGCCAGTGACAGAAGAAAGGGCCCAGCGTGGTACATGATGCTCCCACAAACACTCTCTGAGGTTGTAAGAAACTGGAAATAAAGTAGGTGCCCAAAGGCTGAACAAACTGTGATCCACACAGAAACTCAGCGGGATTTAGCACTTTACAGTTATGCTGGGAGGGTAAAGTGACCCTGGGTCACGCTCAGGCAGGATCTGAACTTGGATCTCTCTGATTCCAAGTCACCCTGGCACATAGAGCAATATTACTGAGCCATAAAGACCAAGCAGGAGGAATTCAGCAAAATGTGGAAAGAGTCTGAAGAAGTGAGCCAAGATGAAAAAAATGTATTCAAAAGAGAAATAGATGACTTGGAGTCAGGAAGACTGAAGCTCAAATCCTGCCCCAGATGCCCAGTTTCCTTACCTGTGAAATGGGGACAATAGCGCTTATGTCATGGGGTGTGACACACTCTATCAATGTGAGCTATTACTAAAATGTTCTTGCTTCTTACAAGAAAGGGCTCTGTGGTGGTGCTAGGGGAGGGGGAAGGGGATCATGACTTTGGTACAAAAAGAAAAGGCATAAAACTATTTAAAACTGACAATGAATGACTGGCCCCAGGAGGCGGAGGCAGGGCCAGAGAGCGCCGCTCCCCCCCTCCATGGGGAAGGAGAGGTTGGCATTTTCTAGGGGTGGGGAAAAGGAGACGGCAGGCCAGAGTGTGGCCTCCTGTCCCCAGGCCGGGGGGCATCCTGCATGACCACACAGGCCGTGGCCTGGTAAGCAGTGACAGCTGCGCCGGGCTGGGCTCGCTCACCTGCAAGGCTGTTTCTCGGGCCTTCTCCCTCTGGAATCCAAGGGGCTTCTCCTTGCTCCAGCTGGTGGATTACGTCAGGTCTGGACACCGTGAGTCCTGTTCATTGAATGTGGGACAGAGAAGCAGCAAAGAGCTGAGAAGTCAGCCCTGGGCCCATGCCTCCCAGGACCAGTGGGGATGCAGCAGGCCTCTGCAGGGTTACTTTGTAGGGGCCAGGCAAGTATTAAAGAAAGGGTTGGAGAATGGACGTGGTGGAGAAAGGGAATCTATCTGGCAGACACACTCCCACTGAGAGGATGGGAGCCATTCATGCATTTGGGATTCTCTACCGAGCCTGGGGAGAATTCCTTAAGGAACAGAGGCTAGAAGAGCTCAAACCTCCAGGGCAACAGAATCACTCCTTAGGGTCTAGATGTTTAAAGCAAAGCTGTTCATCAGCAAACAGGTAACACCCATATCCTAGTCTCTTCACTATACAAGATTAGCAATCTCTGGTTTCTGCATACAAAATAATTGCTCTACACGGGAAGAAATAAAGCCCCTCAGCTGAGTCCTGGGGGCCGCCCCCTGCTCACCCAGGCAGACCAGGTTCCTGAAGTTCTCCAGCATCACCTCCCGGTACAGCTCCTTCTGGAAGGGGTCCAGGTGCCCCCACTCCTCCAGGGTGAAGTCCACAGCCACGTCCCTGAAGGTCACAGACCCCTGAAACAACAAAGGCAAATGTGCTGACCCCAGGAGCAGCCCTCGTGAAGCCCTAGTGGGAGGCACGGTGCTGGGAAGTCTGTTCCCAGGACTCCTCAGGCTTCGGGGCATCTGAAGTGAGACAGACAGGGAATTCCTCCAGTACGATTCAGCCTGGGCTAGCCTCTGCATCATCAGGCCAAATGACAGTCACAGCAATAAGAGCTCATGCTTCTAGTGCCCTTTTCAATGAGCAGAGTGCTTAACTCACAACCCTTGAAGAGCAGGGTCGCCACGCATTCATCATCCCCATATCATAGCAGACAAAACAAGGAAATCCCTTGCACCCTGCCCTCGGCCGTCTCGACAAGAACTGGGCCCCAAACCCTGCTTTTCTATTTCCCCAGCCTGGGGTCCCTCCCCAGGAACATACTCTCTCTTGCTTCATTAACTCAGAGTCCACTGGTATACATCATCATCTCACAAAGACAGAGCCAGTACATCAGTGTTGAACTCCCAGATTACATACTGGAGATTATCCACAGCCATCACCTAATTCAAACGCAGAACTCAAGAAGACAAAAAGGAGGACTGACAAAGCAGAAAAATAAAAAAACGGGAAAATCTCATTGAAGCAGCGGCCTCCCTGGGAAGTATGGCAGCTTAGGCAGATGTTTAAAATTGGCAAAATGGAATAGAAATCAGAGGAAACTTTAAACGGCAGAACCAGATGATGGTCTCAGATCTCTATAAAATAAAGCAGTAGGACTGAAAGACAAGGGTCTACCAAACATTCTAGGAAATATTAAGATCTGAGAAACGACGAAGAAACCAAATCTGAATCATACAATCCAGGTAATAACATATAAGAAAACTGCCCAGAAATAGTGGAAATAGAAGGTAGAGGGCAAACAGAATTCACAGAACTCAGAGTAATCCTGAGTTTGACTAACCCGCAAATGCAGTCATCAAGTTTCAAAGCCTCAAGGTCAAAGAGAGATTCTTCTGAGCAGCTAGGAGCGATCAATTCACACATCAACAACACCAATCTGAATTTCCCAAGTTTGTCCAATGAGGACTAGGAGATGAAGAAAAAAACTACAATGGGGTACACTGAAAAGCAAGGGAAAACGGTCTACTTTATCAGATAATCAATCATGCAGAACCGGGGATAGCCCACCGACGGAAACTCTTCTTTTCAATTAGCTCACAAATTTTAATTCCTTGCTGTTAGCTCCAGAAATGGGCAGACCTGGATATTCCGACTGACCAATGATATGTCACATAAGTAATTTAACCTAATACTGCCTTAAAGTAAGGAGGTGAGTGTGACTATAGGTGAACATGATGTAGGGAAGTAACAATATTATGGCTGCTTTGAAGACACATTTAGTATCAAGGTCACTGAAGAAAGAGGTTATTCTGTTTTTCCAGTACTACTCAAACAGTTTGGCAGAAATGAAAACTTTTAAACCAGTATCTAACTGCTATTATATAGCATGATAATGGACAAATGGATAAGTGATCTAAACACTTTAAAAATCATACTATAAAAAATTTGAAGAAAAATGTGAGAGAAATCTACGGGAAAGAATTCATTTAAGGACAAAGGTTAAAGAACATTATATGAGACAGATTTCTGTATATGAAATTAAAGGGCATCTGTACAAACAAAAATCAGTCCAGCCATAATAGGAAAAAAAAACTTTATGAATTGGAGGAAAATATTTTTTCTAAGATCTCTGATAAAAGTCTAATATCCAAAAGAGAAAGGGCATTACCATGAATAGATAAGACTAAGTCATTCTCATTAAATAAGCTGATGAAGTATATGAAGAAACAGACAAATTATCAACAATTATTCCAAGTCATTACAAAGAAAAATGAAAATTAAAACACCTGTGAGGTATCATCTCAAACCCAACAAGCAGCAAAGAGTATAAGGACTGAAAATGGAAATAGTGGAGGGACTGCAGGCAGATTGCTGGACGTGCTCATTACTGGTCTAGCTGTGAACTGCTCTGACCTTCCCTGAAGATAACTGGACCGTGCCAGAAATGTAACTCCCGTTTCCTACTCTCTGATATGGCAATCTCAACTCCAGGCTCATACGTCTAGGTGATCAATGACGGTGGAGTGAGCACTGTTCAGACTGCTCTCTCAGAGTTAGGCTGCCACTTCTCTCCCTCAGGGTACCCTGAAGGCCTTGGCCAGTCTCCTCGCTAATGCTACTGGCTCACCCCCCACCAGGTGTTCTTCCTCCCCACTTCAGTGATTAGCATCTCAGATCCATTTATCCACTTTACATCAATTAGTTATTATAGAAGAATATTTACTTCAAAGATAAGGCTAGAACAGAAGCACGAGCATTTACCCCAGACATCTCAGGGGCACTCTCTCCCCCATTCCACCTCAGTCTCTGGGGGAGGGGTCTCAGACTTAGCACAATTTCTACGGAGCACTGCTCCCACCAGACTCATGTCCAGATGAGGCATGATTGCTAGATGAGACCTCTTTTAAGGTACCACTAGGTTGGTCCTTAAAGTCCCTCCTTGTTCCTTGGGACATCAGTGCTGGGCTGGCTGAAAAACCCAGTATAGACTCTAACTCCCAGATTCCTAGACTCCCAGAGGCTTGCTCTCCCAACCTCTCAAACTCACAAGTTTGAACTTTCCAGATTAATCTCCTTCAAACCAGATGGAAAAGAAAAAACAGCAAGGGCAAAGGACCAAAGCTGGTTTTCACAGGGCCTTATGTTGGCCTTGAAGGGGAGAGCCCAAGGCCTCATCCCTTACAATACTGTCTCTCACTGGAGGCTGTCCATGAAGGAGTCAAACCAAGAGAAAGTAATCTGAGACTAAACAAGCTTCTAGTCACTTAGTGCTTTCTGAAGGTGCCCTCAGCTCTGGTTCTGCACCTGCAGGCAGGTAACGAATCTCAGCCATAATCAGTCACAGACTAAGCATGCGCCAACGTCTCTCCCAGAAACAGGCCCCCAGCCTCCTTCTCATGAGGAGGCACCATTCGAGTCACTCGGCACACGTGCCGGTCTCCATGACAATAGAAAGAAAGTGCCCATATGTAACCAAACGGTCCTAACAGCACCGTTTGTATCATATCAGCAAGAGGGTGGAAACAAATCACACGCCCAGTTACTGGGAAGGTTCACCTGGAATAACCCTGTGCCATAAGGAATGCTGGACACGATGAATTTGGAGAAAAACAGGAAGACTCCTATGAACTGATTCAGTCAAAAGCAAGAAGCAAACGAACGCGGAGACAACACTAACAGGCGCGGAGACCTCAGGTTCAAATACGTCATCGATTCCAAGTGACTGCAGCTGAAGCACACAGAACCCCTTTCCAGTAACAAACAGTGAGATACGAAGAGGGAAAGCTGAAGTCATGGCAACATGGGGTTTGGCTCAGTTTTTTTTTTTCCTAGCAAAGTAATAGCGGGGTAAAGGAACTGCTGTATCAAAATAAAATGGTTGAAAATAAGCAAAGCAGAAACAAAGGCTGGGAGCTTCAGGAAGGAATACAAACAGAATGAGATCATCTGGAACACGAGGGGAAGTTAAGGCAGAAGAAGGACTGGTAAAAATCAGTCAAAGGAATTCTGGGTTGAAGGACGTGAAAGATAGGACCTTTTTCACATCATTTCAAACTGTTTTCCAGAACTGTTTGACCCAGTGGTTTAAAAAAAAAAAAACCAAAAACAAACCAAAAAAATAGCCCCGCCAGTAGAAGAATATTTAGTGAGCCTGTCTTCTTGAGGCCCTTCTAACAATGACAATTCTGTTTCCCGTGAACTTTGCAATCCCTTTGGTTTGTTTTAACTTTTCTTACTATTAGTGATTTGGAGCAATATTCAAGATACCATAGATAATATTAAGGGATAAAAAGAGGTCAAACGTCTTATGATTAAAGGCCTTGTAGATAATAAAATGCTACTAGGTAAATAGGTATAGGATGCCAAAAGTGACTCATTTCTAAAATGAGAAAGTAGCAAATGAAAAATGGTATAGGGGCAGCTAGGTGGTGTAGTGGATAGATCACCAGCCCTGGACTCAGGAGGAGCTGAGTTCAAATCTAGCCTCAGACACATAACACTTACTAGCTGTGTGACCCTGGGCAAATCACTTAACCCCATTGCCTAACCAAAAAAAACAAACAAACAAACAAACAAAAAAAAACAGACCTAGGAATAGGTGCTGCATCTTGTCGAAAAATGGTATAGCTAATAAGACACTAAATTTAGACAAACCTCATTTTCTACTCTTAGAGCCTGAGATAAAGATAAAAGGACATTACAGATTAATAAAATGTTGGGAAAAATTAATTAAATAATTGATAAATAATTAATAAGTTATTTTTATACATAATAATAAATAAATGAATAAACAAATGAATGCATAATAAAATGCTGGAAAAACTAGTTTTGCTAGACCAATGGAGATTTCTAAATGGGAATCCTGAAGAAAACACAGCCCTATTATTGTTGTTGTTCAGTCATTTCAGGTATGTCTGACTCTCTGTGGCCCCGTTTGGGGTTTTCCTGGCAGAGATGCTGGAGTGGTTTGCCATTTCCTTCTACAGCTCATTTTACAGATGAGGAAACTGAGGCAAACAGGGTTCAGTAACCTGCCCGGGTCACACAGCTAGTAAGTGTCTGAGGCCAGATTGAACTCAGGTTTCTTGACTCCAGGCACTGGGCCACCTAGCTACCGGAATAAAAGGCTCGCTGTACAGTACGCTGTGGTTGAGGCGTTCAGCTGCGGCGGACTCTTCGTGCCTCCATGCACCTTATGTCCGTGAGGTTTTCTTGGCAAAGATACTGGAGTGGTTTACCACTTCCTTCTTCGGCTCATTTTACAGATGAATTACTAAGGCAAATAGTAGTTACGTGACTTGCCCAGGGTCACACAGCTAGTAAGTATGTAAACCCACATTGGAACTCAGATCAGAAACGGCAAACTACTCCAAATCTTTGCCAACAAAACCCCAAATGGAGTAGCAGAGTTGGGACACGACTGAAACAACAACCTTCTGATGCCAAGCCTAGTGCTCTATCCACTGAGTCACCCAGCTGCCTCCTCAATGACCCTCTTAGACACCCACGAATGTTATGTGGCAAGCAATCAGATGCTAGAGCATGAAGAACTTTAAACAATGCAGACTGCCAGGGATTCAAAATATATCCTCAGCAGGTCATAACAGAAACATTTCAACCAATGAAGGAAATGTGATGCAACAGAATACAGAGATTAAACTATGACATCCAAGGTAGCGAGCGGGTCGGCTACCTTGTCAGAATCACAAGACCATATTAAAGTCTCTCAGGAAAGAGCACCCCCTTACCTGCTGGGTCTGGGCTGTCAGGTAGACAGGGGCCATTCCTTTCACTTTAAAGTAGCTGCCTCTTGAGGAAGGGCTTCGTTGTCAGAGCGCACAGCTGGGGAAGAAAGGGAGCTATCAGAGAGAAACCAGCCTTTCCCTGCACCCCCCAGGCACCTGAAATCCACTCACCCTCTTGAAAGATCAGAAGGTCATAAAGAGCACATTCTCAACTCAGTTCAATTAAAAAAATATTAAGTGCCTACTATATAAAAGGAGCTGGGTAGTCAGAGACAAAAAAGAAAGTCCCTCAGGAAGCTGAGACTCCAGTGCGGGGACTGGCACTGCCAGCAACCAAACTGAAGCAGGAAGACCATCCTCTCCCACCCACCAAATCAGCATCAGACCAAATGGCATGCAAGAAAGCCCATGAGAAACTATAATCGATGACTTCTTCCCCCCTAGATCTGCACAAATATCAGCCAGAATCCCACGGGCACAGGAGGTCACTGAATGATGTGGTGCCAGGGTCAGATGGGGCAGGGAGAGACGTGAGGCAGGAACACCCAGCGGCATTTCTTCCAGCTGTCTAGGCATAAGATGGGCAGAGGGGAGAAAGGGGGCGTGCGAGAGATGCTACAGAGATAAAGCCAACAGGACATGGCAATAGGTGAGAACGAGTGGTCACTCACTCAAAAACCATTAAGCACCTACTATGTGCCAGGCACTGTGCTAGACCACAGAGGGCCATGAAATACCAAAGCCCTATACCTCAAAGGTCCAGGGTGGCCTAAAGATTATCAGTGTTCTCTTAGTGTGGACTCACCTCAGGGCTGCCCAACCCACCTAACAGTACAGCACAGGAATGAGCCTGGTCCTGACAAACGGTAAACACTTAAATGTCTGTGGACCGAACCAGAACTGGAGATATGAGTAAACATTTTACTGGGGGAACAAAACACTGACAGAAATAAGTAAATATAAGGTAATATGTGAGAAGTCAGTACCAAGGAGTTGGCACGAGAGCTGAATCATGAGGGAGGATGAAGAAGGTAAAAGCTTCAACAGAGGAGGGAATGAGATTCAAAGCTAACACATGCATGGCAGTCAGAATCTACAGGGATTTGGACGTGTGAGAGCACCGGGCTGAATCTAATAGAATGAAATTCAACAGGGATAAATGTAAAGTCTTATACTTGGGAATAAAAAATCAGCCTCACAAGACAGTAACAATAATAGCTAGCATTTACGTAGTATTGTAAGGTCAGTAAAGTGCTCATTTAATACTTACAACCCTGTGAGGTAGGTACTATTATAATCCCCATTTTACAGATGATGAAACTAGCTCGGAGGATGGTTGGATAACTCCCTCACATAGCTCATATCTGAGGCAGGATTCAAACCTGGTTCTTTCTGAATCAGAGTCTACACTGTCCATTATGCCACCTAGCTGCCTAAGCTGGAAGAGGCATAAGCAGACAGAAGTTACTCTGAAAAAGATCGGGGGGGGGGGGGGGTTTCAGGGGACTGCAAGCTCAATGAGTCAGCAGTGTGATATAGGAGCCAAAGATACTAATTTGATCTTGGGTTGCATTAAAAGGGGCAGAGCTTCCAGGAATGCGGGGGTGGGGGGGGTGGGAGTGATAGCTCCTCTATCCCGTCAGATCTCATTTGAAATATCATGCTTAGTTCTGGGAACCACAATTTTAAAAAGATATTGATAAGAGAGTGTCCAGGGAAGGGCGGGCAGGATAGTGTCTGAGTCCACGTCACCTGTTTTCAAGTATCTGAAAGGCCGTCATTTGTAAGAGAGATGAGATTGATTTTGTTTGGCCCAAGCTATGTATGGAAGCTGCAAAGAGGCCAACTTAAGCTTGATGCCAGGAAAGCTTTCCTAATAATCATAGCTGACAAAAACAGAAAGAAGGTGCCTTAAGAGGTAGCAGATTTCTTCTCCTTAGAGGTCTTCAAGCCAAAGCGGGATAACACCTGTCGGGTATGTTAGAGGGGTGGTCCCTTTCCCATCTAGGTTGGCACAGTCACCGAGCACCTTCCAACTCTCGAATTCTGCGAAAGCAGTTCCAGCAAACCTACTTGGCACGTCAAAGGTCTCTGACATTTTGTGTATTTTCTACACCCACAGTCCCCACCCCTGCAGAGTTGGAAAGCGGGCACATTTTTTCATTTCTTCTCTGGGTGGCTGGGTCATAACTATACGGCACTGGTTCTTTGTTGTTCCTTAAATTTACATTGGTGGCATTATGCATATCGTATTCATTCTATGAACTTAGTGTGTGTTGTTTCACCTAATAGAATGCAAGCTTCATTTCAGGAGGGAGGTCTGATTATTTTTGGTCACGGCATCCCTAGCCCACAGCACGATGCCTGGCACACAACAGGTGCTCAGGACCCACTTGTCAGCATTGCTGGACCCAGGCTGGCAGTGGGGAAGGCCGCAGGGTTTCTCCCGGCTGGCGGCTCTGGCACTCTTCACCGAACACCTGGAGGAGCCCCGATCTCACTGACAGGAGGATTTCCACCCCCTGGGCACACTCCTGCTCATCCAGGCCCGGGGCCCGGGCCACACCCGACACGCTGGCGCTCTTCCTCGGGTCTCCGGTGGACCTCGGGCTGTCCGGCCGTCACTGTCCATTGCCCCTCTCCTGCTGGGGGGCGGCGCCACCTTGGGCTCTGGGCCGCAGCCCCCCTTTCACTGCCAGGATGTTGGCATCAACCACGAGGGCGGGGCGGAGCCCCTGCGGGGGGGAGGGGGAGGCCCTGCAGGCCCGGACGCTTCGGGTGCACACGCCGGGCTGGGGCCTCGATGTGGGTGGAGGGCGGGGGAGGGGGTCGGCCATCGGCAGCCACAGCCCGCCGCTCCGCCCCGGCCCGGCCCCCGAGGCCCGACGGGGGTCACCCCGGACAACGTGGGGGCGTCACCAGGAGCAGCTCGACTGAGCAGAGGCAGGGCCTGGAGAGCGCGAGCTGTGGAGGGGCGCATGCGCGCCGGGACCGGAGGCGGGAGAGGGGAGCAGCGGCGCCGCTGATTGGCTAATTGTACCATTTCCCCTCCCCCACGCGGCTGACCAATGGGCTCTGAAACCAGGTGATGGGCGCCCCGCCCCTCCCGCCCCCCGCCCGGCCCCCTAGCCCAGCCTCGGGCCCCTACTCACCCCAGCCCGAGGCGGAAGCAAGGCCGAAGCCCCGGCGGTGGCGGCGGCTGAGGACGGAGCGGAGCCGAGACGGTCGCGAGCCTACCCAGGAGTTCGGGAGCTCACAACGGCGGGGCCCGGACGAACGGGGCTGACGGCGGCGCCGCCGAGGATGGGGACCTAGCGGAAGTGACGTCAGCGACTCTTCCTCACGCTCCTTCTGGCCCTGCCCATCATGGCTTCTGGACCAATCTGGGGAAGAGTCTTTTAGACCGCCCCTCCCTCTCCCCGGTTTCCTTGGTAACCGCCGACTGAGTAATCAACGCCTTCTGGGAAATGTAGTGCGCAGGTCGAGGGCGCCGTGTGCTCATGCTCAGCAGAGTGGGGCTGCCGAACAGCCGCTTGGAGCCGGGGCGGAGGCTCTGGACTTGGGGGGTCGCGTGTGGCCCCGCCCTCCTCTAGACGCGCCCCGCGGTCCTCTGGGCCCGCTTCCGTCGGTGCTGGGGGGTCCGCATCTGTAAGGGCAGAGAACCCGTAAGGCCCCCAGAGCCCCAAATCTCCTGGGGCAGGGGGCCCCTCAAGGCCATCATCAGGCTCGGGGAAAGCCGGCCTGGACGGCGGACCCCCGGGACGGCCCCACGGCCAGAGACTGGCATTTACAGAGCGCCTACTGTGTGCTGGGGGGAGGGGCTGTTATCGGCCCCATTTTATAGATGAGGAAACTGAGGCAGACAGAGTTCAGGTGATTTGCCAGGTTTGAACTCGGGTTATCCTGCACCCTGCCCCCATCCAGATGCCCTCTTTTTTTTTTTTTTTTGGTGTTAATCGGGGTTAAGTGACTTGCCCGGGGTCACACAGCTAGTAAGCGTCAAGTGTCTGAGGCCAGATTTGAACTCAGGTCCTCCTGACTCCAGGTCTGGTGCTCTATCCACTGTGCCACCTCGCTGCCCTGAGATGCCTCTTTCCTAATGGGCATCCGAGGCGTCTAATGAGGCTCTGGTGGGGAAGTCACAGGGATGGGGACATAGGCCTCCCAAGGATCGAACAAAATGATCAAGAATGGCTTCTCCCCGATACCAAGGCAATCTTCCACAATAGCCCAAACCCTACAAAGCGCACCACGACCTTTCTATGGTGACCATCAATCACTGTCCTAAACCCGGTGGGGCTGCCTGGACTCCTGGTGCAAGAGAGAGGGGAGGGCCAGAAGGAAAGGAAGAAAAAGAACACGGCCAGGCTCTGCTATCAGGTGGGAGGAAGCGCCGGGGCCACCCAGACCTGGGGCAGTTAAGGCAGACCTCCACCTTCTCTCTTCTCACCCTCCTACCAGTCAGAAATCTGCCTGCACTGAAAGGTGTCTGTTTTGTCCTTCCCCCCTTTTCTTCATTAAGTCCATAAATGTTTGTGTACGTACATGATGTGGTACGCTACTCAACGCACAGATACCTCCAAGGGTTGGGGAGAGCAGGAATTCTCTCATTCCAGGCCAGCAACATTGTGCTCAGAAGCCTGAGCCAGGGCCTGGAGCTGCAGAGGAGCCGATGTGGGGCCTGGAGCTTTCACAGTCCTTGCAAAGATATTCAAGGACACCCCCTGGGCTCCGTCCTTTTTAGTGGAGGAGAGCCAGAAGCAGGCCACTGTGGGGAAACAAAAGGGACAGGTGTGTCTTTGAGAGGTTAGAGAGAGGTTTTTCCATGTGTTACCAAAAAAAAGCTAACCTCCAAAAGAAAGGGAGAAGTGAGGGTGACTGCCCATGACAAAATCAGCTTAGAGAAGACTTTTGACTGCCTGCTTAGAGTCACCAGGGCCAGCAACACCATGATGCTACCAGTGCCTAAACCATGGGTGGGGATTTGAGGTCTTGAGGCCACAGGCAGCCCTTTGACTGAATCCAAACTTCACAGAACAAATTCCTTTACTAAAAGGTCACACTTGAGGACCTAGAGGGCCACATGTGGCCTCGAGGCCCACAGGTTCCCCACCCCTGGCCTAAACTCACTCCTGAGCTTCTGTTGGAGCCTGCAGAGGTATCAAGCCTTCATCTCCATTTGAAACTCAATCCTCCATTATCAACTGCCTGTCAGACATTTCTACATTCTTCATTTTTCACCAGGCTGCACTCCTCAGACTCTTCTACCATGCTCTTCATCATGCAAGATCACATCAGCCCTGGTACTCACAGTGCCCTCAAATGAGATATTTGTAGAAGCACTTAGTTCCTGGCACAAGGGGCACATGATGGGCACTATGTAAATGCTTATTCCTTTCCCTTCCCCTTTCCCCTCTGCCCTTGGGTTCTCTCTGATTGAAGGATAGAGTGAAGAGCTCCTCCCAGAACTTCCATTTAAGGCAGGCACCCAGGCCAGCTGTTTCTTCATTTCCCAGCTGACTGTACTCCTGACTTCTCCATCCTGCCACCAGTACCTTCCCTCCCTACCTCACCCCCTGCTTTTCAGCTTCCTTTTGTATATTGCCTTCCCCCGTTAGATTGTAAGCTCCTTGAGGTCAGCAACTGTATCTCAGTGCGTGACACATAGTAGGTGCTTAATAAATGTCTGTTGACTACCTGAACGTTCCATCAGATATCTACCAGAGTAGGGTTTTAAAAGACCTTGGTAGGCTAGAACATTGGACTAAACCAAATAAGATGAAATTAATATAGATAGATGTAGAATTCAAGAGGGCAGCTAGATGGCAAAGTGGATAGAGCGCTGGGCCTGGAGTCAGGAAGACTCATCTTCATGAGTTCAAATCTGTCTTCAGACACTAGCTGTGTGACCCTCAGTAAGTCACTTAACTCCATTTGCCTCAGTGTCCTCATCTGTCAAATGAGCTGGAGAAGGAAATGGCAAACACTCCAGTATCTTGGCCAAGAAAACCCCAAATGGGGTCACGGGGAGTTGGACAGGACTGAACCACAAGAGCAGCCCTTAAGAAGTCAACTTCCCAAGTATAAAATGGGGGAGACTTGTCCAGCCAACCCCTTGAAAAATACGTGCAACATTTAGGCTGTAAGTTCGAATGGTCTGGGTAGTCAAAGCTGTGGCTTTTCTAGTGGCAATGTATGGCTGTGAGAGTTGGACTATAGGGAAAGCTGAGTGCCACAGAATCAAAGCTTTTGAATTGCAGTGCCGGAGGAGACTTTTGAGAGTCCTTTGGACAGTAATGAGATCAAATCGGTCAACACTTAGAGAAGTAAATTCAGACTGCTCACTGGAAGGTCAAATACTGAAACTGAAGCTTAGACACTTTGGCCACATAATGAGAAGATGGGACTCATTGGAAAAGCCCCTGATGTTGAGAAAGATTGAAGGCAAAAAGAGAAGGGGACGGCAGAGGAGGAAACAATAAACATGGGTGTGGACAGATTTGGAGAGAGAGTGGAGGACAGAAGAGCCTGGCATGCTTCATGGTTCATGGGGTCATGAAGAGTCAGGTGTGACGGAACAACAAAAAAGGTCAAATGAAGCCATCAGTGTTATGTCGTAGCTAACAATAATGATTCTTATTAACAATCACCAGGATGTAACATTGACCCTTAAAAACTTAACAATGTTTTGAATAGATATCGCTCGCCACACCAAATGTTCATAATCTCCAAACTATGGGGAATGAAAAGCTTCCAGAATAGAGAGATTAGCAGAGAAGATCAAAATCATGGGGGACCAGAATGTGGCACAGATCATCCCAGTTGTCCTGCCTGGTACCTTTCATCAATTGCAAAGGGCAGTTCATTTGTCCATCTGTGCAAACAATCCATAGAAGAGTAAGTATGAAAGAACTATGGTAGGATAGCTACTTGTCCCATGGCCATTTCTATTGGAGCCTCCTTGAAAAAGATCAGAACGAAATAATACTAATTATGATGATTATGTAATCCCTTTTAGGGATGAGCTGGGCTCCCTGAGTCTGCTCCTCTGTGGAGCTTAACTCTTAATTATAAAGACTAGTTTCCTCTTGAGTTCAGAGTCAGCTCCCTTCTCTGCTGCCAGAGGTCATGCTCCTTGATGTTTCCTGTCCAAGATGCCGCCCTTCTGTCTGTGTCTCCTTAGACACAAAGGAGTAGGTGTTTCTGGTCACTCATGGTTGTTAAAGTCTCTCAAACTGCGTGCGAGTTAGCCCGCTTGCCATTTAAGCCCCACC